CAATTTGAGAAGTGTTCGGATAAAATGTGTACAGATCCTAGTCATAAGTTAATATTAGATGAGATGTATTGTAAAATTGTGGGAGTTCTAAGTGAGGCAGCGGAACAAACTTATATACATAAAAAACATAAGAAATACGTCATTGGCTGGAATAGATATGTTAGAGACGCCCACAGAGAGGCTCGTGCAGCTTTTCAAATCTGGCATATGTTTGGTAAACCATGCGCCGGAAATGTTTACAATAATATGTGTAATACTAGACGTAATTTTAAAGCAAAGTTGAAATGGTGTCAAGATAATTTAGAGCAAATTAAAATGGATAAAATGGCATCATGTCATGCTAAAGGAAATTTTAAAGAATTCTGGAAGCATACTAGTAGTTTAAATCGTCGCTCGAGCCTCCCTGCTAGTGTCTCAGGTGTTAGCGGAGCGAGTGAGATAGCAAATCTTTTCAAAAATTATTTTAAAGTTGTATCTCCCCTAGGCCCCTCAACGCAATCGATAGATGGGCAATGTCAGCAATCGGCGATCAGTGTAAGAATCACAGTAAATCAAATAGATGCTATTATTAAAAATATGAAGCGTGGAAAATCTCCGGGACATGACAGGCTCAGTATTGAGCATTTGATATATGCAGGTATTCATTTACCAAGAGTGCTGGCATTGTTTTTTAATCTTTGTTTATCGCATATGCATTTGCCAGCAAACCTTATGAAGACTTTGGTGGTACCGATTATAAAAAATAAAACGGGGGGACGCGGCAGACGTGTCTAATTACAGGCCGATATCACTAGCTACCGTAATCGCGAAAGTGCTTGACAGTCTGCTTGATAAATATCTGCAGAAACATATCTCCTTGCATGATGCACAATTTGGTTTTCGACAAAAACTATCAACAGAGAGTGCAATTTTCTGTCTCAAGCAGACGGTCAAGTACTACACGACCAGAAGAACCCCTGTGTATGCATGCTTCTTGGATTTATCCAAAGCATTCGATTTAGTGTCTTATAGGGTATTATGGCGAAAGCTGCGAGAAGAGACTGACATACCTGAAGAGATTATCACTATGTTCCAATTTTGGTACTCACATCAAACGAATTACGTTAGATGGGGCACAGGTATGTCAGATGAATACGGATTAGAGTGTGGGGTAAGGCAGGGCGGATTAAGCTCTCCTACCTTATTTAATTTATATATTAATGGGTTGATCGCTGAGCTCAACAGCACTGGTATTGGGTGTTCAATAGACGGAGTCAATATAAATAACATAAGTTACGCGGACGATATGGTGTTGTTGAGCCCATCGATCAGAGCACTGAGAAAATTAGTGAAAATTTGTGAATCATATGCTAGTACTCATGGGCTTATATACAACACAAAAAAGAGTGAGCTAATGATTTTTGGGGCAGACGCTAAGAGAGGAAGCTAACTTACCGCCTGTAATTTTGTGTGGGTCAGTTATAAAAAGAGTACCTCAGTTTAAGTACCTGGGGCACTGGCTCACTGAAAACATGAGCGATGACTGTGATATTGAGAGAGAACGCAGAGCACTGGCAGTACGTTGCAACATGCTGACTCGCAGATTCGCCAAGTCCTCTAGACAGGTTAAAATAATGCTTTTCAAAGCATTCTGTCAAACTTTTTATACGTGTAGCATGTGGGTTGGTTACACGCAGCGGACGTATAGTGCACTGCGCGTGCAATATAACAATGCGTTTAGGATTTTGATGGGACTAGCTCGTCACTGTAGTGCATCTACTATGTTCGCGGAGGCACGTATCGATGACTTTTACGCTATAGTGCGAAAGAGATGCGCCTCACTTCTTTTTCGTATTAGAGACTCTTCTAATAGCATCTTAACCGCCTTAGCCGATAGGTGGGACTCTGCGCTTTTAAGACACTGGATCCGCATTCACATGCATACGAATTAAAATGTAAATTTAAGTAATTATAATAAAATGTATTTTTTTTTAAATATAAGTAAGTTTTAGTGATTATTGATATTGTTGTTAAAATGTATGATTTTTTTTCTTTTCTTAGATTTTTAAGCAATTTAACTAATCAACGATACTATAATAATGTTATGTTACTAACCAATTTATGGACTCTTGTCTGAAATAAAGATTATTATTATTATTGTTATTTATATTTTCTACGTTTTCTCAGTTTGTTTTTAACAAAACTGGATTAATGGTTATTACCACGGGACAAAGCCAAGTGGATACCATGAACTTGTTTGGTTATGGGTAGTTTTCTGTAGAGATAAATTTTCTAACTATTCTACAAGTATTAAGTAAAACTGCTTTTTGTAATTGAATATATGTTAGTTTTGGTAAATCTAAAGTTTTTAATGATTGATGAAGCGCTTTTGGTATTACACCAGTTGTAGAGAGGACTATAGGGACTATAATGGCGTTATGCAAATTCCACATTCTAATAATTTCATGTTTTAATTCAGTGTACTTGGAAATTTTTTCATTAATTGTTGTCTGTAAGTTATGTGAATTAGGTATAGCAATGTCAATAATAAGAGCATGTTTATTCGCTTTATCTATTAATGTTATATCCGGTCTATTAAAGTGTATTGTTTTGTCAGTAAGTATAGCTCTGTCAAAATACATTTTGTGAGTGGTATTTTCAAGGACTATTTCTGGTTTATATTTATAGTATACTTGAGTTGGCTGGTCAGTTAATTTATACTTAAAGGCAAGTTTTTGGTGAATGATATTGGCTACATGATCATGCCGATACTTATAGTCCGTCTGAACAATCGCTTTACAGGCACCAGTGATGTGTTGAATTGTTTCTGAAGCATTACAACAGCGTCTACGTGTGTCGGTAGGTAAATTTTTTATTTTAATAATATGCTTTTGATAATTGCGTGTCTCTATGATTTAGTCCTGAATTGCGCACATAAAACCCTCAGTCTCAGGAAAAACCTCATCACGTTGAAGCCATGCGTTCGACGCTAATTTGTCTACGGTAGGTTGGTTCAAATCATGGCGATGTCTTCCATGTAGAGACTTTTGGGTCCATATGTCAATTTTTGTGTTGTTATCTGTAAGTAACTCATTTTTTGCAATGTTTTATCATGCATTTTAAGCGGTGTCAATTTATGATCATTCTGTACTATGGCATTGTGTAGTGATGATATTGCTGTTTTATCATAAAAGTAATTTCTGAGTGTAGTTATTTGTCTGTTATGTAAGTTAACTATGTCTATTACCCCTCTTCCTCCTTCATTTCGTGGCAATGTTAGTCTTTGTATGCATGATCTTGGATGGTGTTTACGGTGCCTCGTAAGAGATGTATTTATTTCGCGTTGTAGCTTTTTTAGTTCAGTTTTGGACCAGTGTACTATGCCAAAGGAATGAGTTAGTATGGGAATTGCAAATGTGTTAATAGCTTTAAATATATTCTTAGAATTTAATTGAGATGTTAATACTAAGCGAAGCCTATATCGAAACTGATCTGTTAATGTATTTTTAATTTCTTTATGATGTATTTGCTTAGACTAATTATATCCTAAATACTTATACACTCCATTTTCTTCTAAAGATTTTATTTGCTGTCCTGTTTGCAACTGATAGTTGTGTTCATAATACTGTCCAGCTCTTACTGAATTAATGTTGCACTTATCAATACCAAATTCCATTCCAATATCTCGTGAAAATTTTTCCGTTAATATAACTAATTGATCTAATTCATCTTGAGTAGTAGCATATAGTTTTAGATCGTCCATATACAAAAGATGACTAAGTTTTTTTTCTTCCTTCTTAGTATGTAGATGATCTTGTGTTCTATGGTATTGTAAAGAGTACCCTATGTTTTTTGAGTTTAACATTTGTGATAAGGGATTTATTGCAAGGCAGAACCAGAGAGGACTAAGTGCATCCCCTTGAATAATACCTCTCCTTATTGCAATCATATCTGTTTCTATCATTCCATCTCGTGAGTTAATTTTAAGTTTCGTTGTCCAATTGGTCATCGCAGCCTGTAAAAATTGTATTATCTTTGGGTTTATTTTGTATATTTCTAAAATTTTTAATAACCAAGTGTGCGGGATTGAGTCATAAGCTTTCTTATAATCAATGTACATGCTAAATAAATCTTTTCTTTTTGATTGTACCTGCTTTAATAGTACTGCATCTATTTTGAGCTGTTCTTTGCAACCCTGACTAAATTTTCTACAACCTTTTTTGTTCTTCTGACAATATGTTATTAGCTTCTATGTGTTCATAAATGGTTTCAGTTAAGCAAGATGTAATTATTTTGTACAATGTTTGTAAACATGTGATAGGTCTATATTTTGCAGGATTGTCAAGATTACTAGGCTCTTTTGGTATCATATACGTTATTCCTGAACTAATGTATTGCGGCAAAGTATGCGGGCTTTGTATGAATTTATTAACAAAATTAAACAGAATCGGGTGGATAGTTGTAAACTTTTTATACCAATAGTTATTTATATTATCTGATCCAGGTGTTTTACAATTATGCAGTTTTTTAATTACTTTATGGAAAGTGTCTATCTTGATATGTTGAAATTGCATGGCTTTAATCTGTGATGTGTCTATTTGATTTTTGATCCAATCCGCTTCTGTATTATAATATTTAGGTTCCTCCCATATTGTAGACCAGTAACTTTGTAATTCTCTCGGTGATGGTATGATATTATTTTCGGAGCTTTTCAAACTGCTGATTTTATTTTTAAAAGGATTTTTTATATTACGGTAGAAAAGTTTTTCATTTGAGCAAAATAGAATGTTTTGAGTTTTTCGTAGAGAGCATGCTCTATATCTTTTTAACCGACTACTAGTAAGTTTTAGTTTTTGTTTAAGTGTGTCTAAAAAATTTTCGTGTTTGGTGTTATGTTCTTCGTAGACAGAATGAATTTTATGTTGTTCGAGTATATAATTTACGTGTTTGATTAATTTTTGACCTCGGTTTCCATTAATATATTGAGTTAGCCTTGCAATTTTTGCTCTTAATTCACTTACTTTGTTTTCTAATCTTTGTTCCCACTTTGGCTTATTATATTTCTTTTGTTTCTCTGGTCCTAACGGATTATCAACTTGTATAGCTATTTCAATTTTTGCTCCGTTGAGCTTAGCTGAAGTCCATGCTGCACAGTACACTAAATTCTGAAATGTTTTAAATTCAATTTCGCTGTTGATATATTGTGGCAATAAAATATTGTTTACATAGGCAACTATTTTACTCAATTTCTTTGATGACCTCTGCTTTGGTATAAACTGTCTTTCTGTTGGGTTTGTATTAGCAAAATATTCTAAAGCTTTAGCAAACATTTCATCTATGGCAATTATCTTTTCCCTATGTAAATTTTCATTTTCATTTGTTGTGTGGTTTTCAGCATTTAAATATAAACTTTCTGTATCTGGTTCTTCGTTGTCTGTGATACCTATCTGAAGTATTGAGTTGTCATTTGCTTGTATATCGTTATGCTGTTCTTGCATGTCATTCTTAATTAATTCTAAGCGGTCAACACTTAAATATTTCTTACGTAGAATTAATCTTCTCAAATAAATTTCCAAGAGCATCATTAATTTTATCTAAAGGTAATTTTAATGGAAGATCGACTTGAAACTTATTATTTTTATGAATTGTTGTATTTTGAAAAATAGTTTCACATATTTCTTGCTCTGGAATATGTTCAGTAAACCTTAATTCATTAATATCAGAGTTGCAATTAATACATAATAAAGACACCTTACTTGTATTATTAAAAATGTTGTTCCTTGGCAAGGCACCCCCTATTACATGCCCAAATTTAGTATTAATGAAGCGTGGCTGCTGAGCCTCATGCTCAGTATGCCTTGAAGCAGGTTGCTGAAGAGCTGGCTGTTGCTCTGGGAGCAGCACCTGGAAAAATATGTCGGCCCCAATTAGCATATTTATTTCTGATGGCGTGTGAAAATCTAAATCTGCTAAATTTATTTCTGGAGGGATAATGATGGCTGCCAAGTTAATTTTGTATTGTGGAAGCCTGCATGTGATTTGATCTACATGACAGTTTGTTGTCACCTTGTAGGGTGAAGTAAGCGAGAAAACCTCGATGGGGACAGAATATTTTGCAGCATTATTTGTGTTGCTGATCCCTACTATATTTGTATTATTTTTATTTGGAGTGGATCCCCAGTACATCTATAACTTTTTTAGTTACTAAGGATACCTGAGACGCTGAATCCAAAATCGCCTTGATATGTACTTCTCTTCCGCTCTGAGAATAAAGTTTTAGTTTCACAGTGGGCAACAAGACTCTATTGTTGTCAATATTAGAAATTAAAGTGTAAGGTTGCTTGTGAGAAAGTTCATCGTGAAGTAATGTATTGTGATTCTGTTTGCAAATGTTACACCGGAAATGATATTTACATTTACCACGGTGATCATTCATACATACATTACATAATTTACTTTCCTTGTATTTACTTTCCTTAAGTTTATTCTGTCTGCAGAGGACAAAAGTTTAAAGCTTTTACAATTGAATAATTTGTGGTCATTAGACTTACAATAAGCACATGAAAGAGCTGCAGGTGTAGTGACATTCACCACCGGCTTATAGTGAGTCTTGGTAGTAGTAGTAGGTTCTGCCTTCTCCAGGGCCAAGGCTCGCTTCTCCAGGAACAGCAGGAACTCCTTAATAGTGGGATCGGACTCATTGCCACACTCCAATTGGTAAGCTCGTGATGTGTAAGTTTCTAATTTTTACTAGTTTATTTTTACTAGACTTGAAGGCAGGACACTCAATGCAATATATGAATGGACGTTAGTTGTTAGGTGAGATTTTAATTCTCCTTACAAGTTACTGGTGGTAGGATAGGATAGCTGGTAGGACTGCTTTTTTATAGTATAGGGTGACAAACGAGCGCACATGCCACCTGATGGTAAGAGCTTACTGGGGCCCATAGACATCTACATCTATTCTCGATTACAAATCAAAATGCAGATGCATTGTCACCCCTGAGAACTATGATGGAATGCCTTGTTCCCAGTAAAAAGGATCTCTGGTTCTTTACACCCACTATACGAAACACAGCAGCAATAAGCTGCTATTTCATAATGGTATTCTGTGAGAGCATGGCCCATGACCCATTCATGCTACAAATATACTACTAATATAGTTAATATACTACTAATTTAGTTGCAGGATGGCTCTCCACGTATGATAATGATCAGGCAATAATTGTGTTAAAATAGATAATATTATCTAATACCCACAACATTATTTATGTGTGAAACCTTCACTTATTGGGACTCAATTCAAAAAGTTTCAAAACAAAAAGTCTTAAGCAATTAAACAGTAATTAATTAATTATTTTTGTGTATGAAATTGCAAAAAAACATTTCTTTTTTTGAGTCAGGCACAATCTTACATCGCATTTCAGGCATTTTATCACTGTTTTCCCTTTAGTACAAAGACGGCACCGTCCTTGTGTATCGATATCGGGTAGATGGTTGATCCCATCTAACCGCATCTCTGGTGGCGGTCTCGGAACTATAGGTTTAGTGATTTCAGCTGAAATTTCTGAATCTATTACAATTTTTATACGCGTGTCTGATTTTATTAGTGCATCTGCAATTTGGATTCGAAACCCTCACCTTCAATGGTATAGAATTATCACCCATTTCCTGCATTTCACGTTTGTACACAAGCCATGCATTATTCAGAGAAATGTCGATGAGGTGGCTGAAAATGTTCATATACCATTTCTTGCTTTTCAGAGCAACCCTATATAAAGAAATCAACATATCGGCTTTATCTACTCCACCCATTTTTTTGTTGTACTCCTTGATAATGTGTGGACATGAAACAGACCGCTTTTCGCGCACATCTTTATTATATCGTAAAATGCTGGTAACAGGCTCTTCTCCACAATATGAACTCGCTAAATTTACACAGTCATTGTCCACCCACTTCACAATTGATAGCTTATTTTTATTATCTGAAATCATTACATAGCTTCCTCTACCTTTTTTCTTCAGCACTTTATCTTTGATAATATTCTGCCCTCTAAGTCTGTCCTTCCTTATGGTCCCCAAAGAAAGAATTCCATATTCATTTCTTAGATGATATATTAGCTCCAGAGACGTGAACCAGTTGTCAAAATAAACAGAACTGTTCTCCGGCCAATGCCGAGATAATTATTTTCCCACTCTGTAAAATCAGCACGGTCAAAACTGTTGCCACCATCGTATGCAAAAAAGTCATATACTATCCCGGAATTCCCAGCTCGAACAAAAAATTTAAAACCCCATTTTGTGGGTTTTTTCGGCATATATTGACGCCGAGATCCAGCCTTTTTACCTTTATACGGCACCATCATCTCGTCTATGGAATATGACTTTTCCTCTTCAATCGCCAAACAATTTAGCCGTAAGTGCTCCATCACGGGCCTAATTTTAAAATAACGATCTACATGATCATCCTCCGCATTATTACTAAAGTGTAAGTTTCCTCTTATATTCTCGTATTTTTTGAGAGACATAACGTCTGCGATAGGAGCAAAACGAGTACCTTGTGCCCAATAATCAGCATATGCTGGCATGCTTACTATTCCCATTAAAATTTCAATACCGACAAAGGATTTTATGTCTTTGACTGTTAGATTTATTGACTTGCCTTGTTTTTGCATAGAGTATAAATTGGTCATTTCGACGATGTGGTTCCATAAATCCTCATTCCAAAGCTTCTTGAAATAATCGAATGATGTTTTATCCGTATAATCTATAGAAGGGTGAAATTCTGAATCTATGTGTACCTGACTTCTGAATTTTTGGCGTTTGAACTCGAATTCCATCTGTTCTAGTTTTTTTCGTTTATTTCTGACTTGGTTGGATGTAGAAGGAACTGCATCATTTGCATTTCTTATGTTTCTTGTGCGTCGTGTTGAAATACCCAGTGGTGTTACTAGGGATGGTATTGATTGATGCGGCTGAACATTGGAAATATTTCTTGGAGACTGTACTGACGTGGTGACCACAAATGGAGAAGGTTGAAGAGAAATATTGCTCGTTGCAAGGGAATCCACCAAAGTATCATAACAATTATTTAATAGAGAAGGACTCGCTAATTCTTCATCAAAATCGTCATCAAAACCATTTAAAAATTCTTCCAGCCCGGGAGACAGATAAATAAAATAATAAAAATGTTTATTTCAATTACATAAAGCTTTAAGATACAGGGTTTGGAGATCACCTTTTAAGCAAAGAGATGCTTGTGTTAGGTGAGTCCGCTCTTCCACTTAAGATTATACAGTGTATGTAATTGGAAACTAATTAAAAGAAAAGAAAGTAGAAATACTTAATGGATAAAGGAGCGCTGTTGTGTGATGTAAGTGAGTGGGGTTTTGAGTGTTCGCGCACACGCGCGCGTGTGTGTGTGTGTGTGTGTGTGTGTGTGTGTATGTGTATGTTTGTTCGTTCGTTCTTGTGTTTATGGGTTAATATTGTTGACGTTGAGGTTTAGGTTAGCCCTATGAAAATGTCTTGGGATCGGAAGAAGCCAAGCAAAGCTTCCTCCACAACGATTACGTTACTGTGGTCCAGTTGATTAATAAACAGATTATGGTAACGATGATACCATAGCCTCAATGTCATCGTAGGTTTTAGTCTTAAGCCAATTAGTCACAACTAGTTTACATTCACGGAGTTTTAGAGGATAGATGTTTAGCTCTTTATTCAATAGGTTGTATAAGTGGGAAGATTGCCTTTCATACTGCCGCTTGGCAAAAACCGATCTAACTGGGACAGTTGGAGCGACCAAGTAGCTTCTTCTGCTACTCATAATCGGCTTTTTGGGGTCAAACGGGAGGGATTTATGTTTACTCAGAATAAGGTGGAGTAGGTAAAGTTTTCTTACAGACAGTAGGTTAGAGGTTAGGTAAAGGCTTTGGGTTGAAAATCTGTAGGGTTTAAAAAACATAACTTTAAGCAGAGATCGCTGCGCCCTCTCAAGTTTCTAAAAATTTAATTTTTGTTGTTCCACCCCAGCATGGCAGACAGTATGTAAGGATAGATTGGGCTAATGATACGTAGACTTTCTGCAAAAGATTCTTTGAGGCAACGTGTCGCAATGTTTTAAAAGTCCATATTAATTTCCTAATCCTATTCATGATCAGTTCAGTATGCATATGCCAGGACAGGCGTTGGTCAATCATGATACCAAGGTACTTAGTATACTGTAACCTGTCAATTTTTGTACAAGAGCAGTCAGGAATTGGGGGGTTAGCACAGGAGTGGATCTTTATTTGGAATTCGAGTGGTGGTTGAGTGTGTGTATACTTGGTGAAGCATATGTAATTGGACTTGGAGGCATTTAGTGTGAGGAGGTTACGCTTAAGCCAAACTGCAATCTTAGACAGGCCGATTTCGGCTGACCTTTTAACTTTTGTCCAAGTGTTATCAGCAAAGACTATGGCAGTATCATCCGCGTATGAGAAAATGTGATCGCTGTCAATAGTCATATTGCATAGGTTATTAATATATATAAGAAACAATGTCGGACCAAGGACACTTCCCTGCCCGACACCGTATGAAATTGTTTCTTCTGAGCTAATAAACTCCCCTATTTTGACTGTTTGTTTGCGACCGCTTAGGTAGGATTTGAACAGATCGAGAGGGGTTCCCCTTATGCCTATGTTTTCAAGCCTGTCTAGAAGTATGGGGACAGATACTGTGTCAAAGGCCTTTTTGAGGTCGAGGAAAACTGCCAGACATTTGCTACCTTTATCCACTTTGTCAACTATAGTAGATGTTAAAGACAGGACCGCATCCACAGTAGACCTACCCTGCCTAAACCCAAACTGAGAAGGTGACAGAATGTTATACTTAGAAAGGTATTTAGTTAAACGTGAATTTAAGAGTCTTTCTAGGATTTTTGAGATGGATGGCAGAACTGAAATTGGCCTATAGTTTGACGGGTTTGACCTGTCTCCACACTTGTACACAGGCGTTATTAGGGCTACTTTTAAAGCATCCGGGAAAAGTCCCTGCTCAAAGCAAAGGTTTGTTAAATAAGTTAGGATTGGCACAATTTGTTCGTGTGCAGCTTTAAGGAATTTAACTGGAATGTGGTCCCAACCTGGAGCACTATCTGGTTTTAAGCTCATTAGTGTATCATGAACTTCACAAAAGTCTGTGTCGAGTAGGGCAAAAGAAGAAGCCGATGTACAGGCAGATAAAGATGAGCTAGGATCGTTATTAGTTACTGTAGAAGACGGAGGTGGTGAGATATTGTCCGCAAGAACCTTTCCTATGTTAGAGAAAAAGTTATTCACTTTGTTAGTAGAGTTCTGGGGAGTATTAGATAGCTCTAGGAGTTCCAAGTTATTTGTTTTTTTAGGTTTTCGATTTTTAATGTTGTTAATGATCTCCCACGTTTTTTTAGGATTTTTATGTGCTTTGGCAAGTTCGTCTCTGTCATATTTTCGTTTTTGTTTTTTGATGATGCAGTTGCAGTAATTGCGGTACCTTTTATAGGTAACTTTTAGTACCTCATTGAAAGGGTCAAGCCTCAGTCTCCGTTGCATGGTGTTTCGGTTGTGAATACAGCGCAAAAAACCAATAGTCATCCACGGTTTCAGGGTTCTATTTTTTGACGAGATTACAATAGTGATAGTACTAAGAGCGATACAGTTTTGAAGAATTTCGATTAATTTATTAGTTAGTGTGTTAGGGTTTG